ATAAACTTGAAGGAAAATTTTTTTTCTATATCTTTTGATAATGCATTAAACACCATCGCGGGTAGACAACTAAAACCAAAATATAAACCAATTTGCGACGATATTTTTTTTCATAGTCGATGTGTTGCACATATCATTAATTTGCTTGTGCAATATGGACTAACAAACATTGAACTTATAAACGATGGTTTTGTGCTTATGCGGATGCCCTTTGGTTAGGTCCGAATTAGGAAACACTTACCCGATGAAACTCCACTTGCAACATGTTTCAATGTGCCTTGCATCAAGACCTCCTGCATGCTATTAATTCTGGTACATTGTGCATACCCCAGCCTTTTGTTGGAGTGTCACTTTTTCTTTTGGGTTAGTGCTTCTAATCCCGGGTCTCGCCTTAAGGCTTAAATAAACTTTATTTGTTGGTTTATGGCATCCTCTCATTCCTTTGAGATCGGGGCTTGGCTGTGTCCTTTTCGGGGGTTTCACTGTTGCCTAAATGGTATTGTAGGAAGTAAAGGGATTTCCCGTATGATATCTCATCTCAAGAGCTTACACCTCCATACAGATGAACGCAGAGCTGTGTTACGGAAGGCTATTACTTATGACATTGGATTGTTTATGTCTGTGGCAGCAACTTTGAAGGAGTTTGGTCAATAGATATGTGGGGATTGCATGAAGCTTCATGCCCTGAGTCGTTGATGTCACCATCCGGGTAGCTTCATTAAGTTTATTGACGGGGCTGATGACATGAGCATGCATATTGTTGGCATTCAAAAGCTGCTACCCATTGAACCGGAAATCGACCTCAATGATGGGTTGGTGATGGATGCTCAACTACTTGATCGTGTTTTTAAGCTGCCTATCACCACTATCAAAAGCATCCCTCATAGTTGTCGTATGGCTTTCTCTCAGGCTTTGAAAGCAACCATTTCCAAAGTGGTTGCTCATCCTGGATCCGTTGAAGCGTGGGTTGCTCTATTAATTCTTCCTAGGTGTAATCTTCAGGTGTTCAGGCCCAAGAAAAGGCAAGAAAGTAGGACTGGCAACAGGAAGTCTTTGCAACATCGTAATATCTTGAGCGCTTTAGCTACTTGGAGGACTGGAGACGATATCGTCAAGCTAGTTAAAAACTTAGTTGACAATGCAAGTTTAGAGAAACAAGATAAAAAAGAAGAGTACATTCAGGAGAAAAGAACACCGAGCAGCACCAATGTCAGACAATGTCTTCGTAAGGTTGTCGATGGACATTTTACAGCAGCGGTGAAAGTTTTATGTTCTTCGTGGGTTGCTCCATTTGGGGGTGATACCACGGAGGCATTGGAGGATAAGCATCCATACAAGCCACCACATTCCATGCCCAACACCATATTTTCAGAACCTCCCCTAGTTGTGGATGTTGACAATGTCCTTGGGGGAATTAAATCCTTCCCTAAAGGTAGCTCGTGTGGGAGGGACGGGTTGAGAGCTCAACACATTTTAGATGCCCTTTTTGGAGAAGGTTCGGCTATAGCCAAAGACCTCCTGCATGCTATTAATTATGTGGTTAATCTATGGCTAGGGGGAAGATGCCCTTCGAGCATGGCATAATTTGTTGCCTCTGCTCCTCTCACGCCGCTCTTATAACCTGACAAGGGAATACGACCTATTGCAGTAGGTACTATATGGAGACGTTTGGTTTCCAATTTAGCCATGAAAGGGGTTGGTAAAGAAATGGCCAAATATCTCAACGATTTTCAGTTCGGATTCGGGGTGTCGGGTGGCGCTGGGGCCATTTTACATAGCGCCAATAGGTTGTTGAGTGAGCGCCATGATGAAAAATCTCTCTCCATGCTTACCGTGGACTTCTATAATGCCTTTAACCTTGTTGACAGATCCGCATTACTTCATGAGGTCAGACTGAGGTGTCCCTCTATTTCCTTGTGGGTAGAATTCCTATATGGTCAAGACGCAAGGTTATATCTAGGCAACACACATATCAGGTCTTCTGCTGGGGTTCAACAAGGAGACCCCTTGGGACCACTTCTCTTTGCCATTGTGTTGCACCTGCTCTTGCAAAAGATTAGAGACAATTACAAGCTTCTGCTCCATGCATGGTACTTGGATGATGACACACTTATCATAGATTCGGAGGAGGTGGCCAAAGCATTGGACATCATTACGGTGACTGGCCCAAAATTGGGCCTTCAGCTGAATATCAAGAAAACCAAGCTCTTTTGGCCCTCGTGTGATGGTAGGAAGTTACGATAGGGGCTATTTCTATCACACATTGGGAGGCCGCCTTTGGGGGTGAAATTTCTTGGGGGAGCTGTTAGTAGAGATGCTAGTTTCATTCGCAACCTAGCCATAAAGAGAGCCAAAAACGCTGTGAATTTGATGCGCCTTCTTCCACAATTGCCTGACCCCCAGAGTGAGCTCCTTCTTCTTCGAACTTGTATGGGTATTGCTAAGATTTTCTTTGGGTTGAGGACATGCCAACCCGTTTACATGGAGGAGGCGACAATATTCTTTGACACTGGATTGCGCGGGCGATTGAGGACATTGTGGTTTGTGGGGGCCCTTTCTTTGGTGACATACAATGGCGAATTGCTTCTTTACCCATTAGGTTTGGGGGTTTAGGTTTATACTCGGCAGTAGAGGCTACCTCCTATGCTTTTGTTGCCTCAAGGGCCCAATCTTGGGTATTGCAAGACCACATCTTACGGGATAGCAGTATACATGGTATGGTTTTTGATTATGATTGTGCCTTGGCATCCCTTCGCAACAAGCTTCTAGATTTTGACCTTAACAATTTTACTACTAAAGACACCGCCCCCCCCCCCCTAAATCCTAGAATACACCGGCGAGTGCCTTTTTTCATAAAATTGTCCAAGATATGGAAGTGCATTTCGACATGATGGCTCAGCAGAAAGCGGTTTTCCAGTGCTTACGTGCACCAGATGCTCAAGATTTTCTTCTGACTATCCCTATAGATGGGCTTGGCCAACACATGTCTCCCGTGGAGTATCGTACTATTCTCAAATATCGACTCATGATTCCCATTTTCCCAGCTGAGGAGATATGTCCTATGTGTCGCAAGGCATGTTTGGACTCTTTTGGGGAGCATGCAGTTCACTGTAAAGAACTCCCGGGGTTCAAAACAGGCACAATATGGTTAAGGATGTCTTGTTTGATATATTTAAGCGTAACGGGGTTTCCGCTAAGAAAGAGGCACCTGTTAATTTCTTGACTGACCCGACAGAAGGAAGGTCAACCCTCAGAACGGCTGACATTTTGATTTTTGGATGGATCGGAGGGAAACACGCATGTGTGGATCTTACAGGGGTATCCCTTCTCGTGGGCCTGAGGGCTGGGGGTTTCACAGCGGGACATGCTGCTTTAAAAGCAGCCACAGACAAAGTCACCAAACATGAGAGATCATGCCTAGAAAATCAACACGTGTTCCTACCATTTGCATTTGATACGTTTGGTTTCCTCGCACCGGATGCGATAGAGCTTCTTAAATGAGTACAACGAATCATGCATAGTAATGTTATATCCCCTAGATCTTCGGATGTAGTCTTTAAAAGAATTAGCTTTACCATTCAAAAAGGCTTAGTGGCGTAGCTTGTTACCCGTTTGCCATCTCACTCATTGTACGATGACAATTAAAATTAGCAAGTTTTTTCAAATTAGTTAAAGTTACTCGTAAACTGAAAGAGCTAATTAAGTTTGTGATGATTTTAAACTCCATGATCGCTCCTTCCTTATTATGTCCGTGAGGTTACTAGGAATATTTTCTACTACAGTTACCCTATGGTTTTAGTGATCTAAATTTGTTTACTTTTCTTTTGGTAGTTAATTTATTTGGCTTGATTTTGGTGGAGAGTTTTAGCTCTATAGGAGTATTTTGTATCATTACTTTGAAGTGGTGATGAATGTATATAAATTTTACAAAATGGTGTAGAGTTTTAAAGGGCTATAGATGACATCCCCACATAAGTTCAAAGTCATTATTGGCTATTGTCAAATTATTAATTTATTATCGAACACAACCTCTAGTTATATAATCATGCAATCACTTAGATATACTACAACGACATGGCTATAGGCTAATACCGGGAAATGATGTTATGCAATTAAATCAATTTGATTCTGAATTCCACCTTTTTGTAGTTTTATAGAGCATCAAACTTAAAGGAACTTATCAAGTGATAGATAGAATCAACAATCTTCCTCAAGACACAATTGAAAAAAATTCTGAATTTAATGTCACTTCAAGATGCAGTCAGGACAAGCATTTTGTCAAGGAAATGGAGGAATTGCTAGACAAGCATGCCAAAACTTGCATTTATCATGCTTACTATATCATCTAATAGTGAAGAATTCAATAAACATAAGCTTGTGAAAGATATCCTCCATGTTTTGATTTGACACATGGGTCCGCTTTTAGAATTCAGTATTTGCATTAATGATACAAAAATTGCTAATAAGATTGACCCGATAATAATTCATCTTTCAAGGACCAAAAATATAAAGAAGTTCAAGTTTGTGAAAGGGCCAAATGACTGCTACAAGATACCTTTTTTCTTCTTTTCATTGCAAGGATTAGAACACCTAGATCTCATGGGTTGTGTAATCAAGCCTCCATTAATATTTAATGGATTTTGTATGCTAAGGAGCCAATCCTTTAACAGTTGTATAATCACTATCGAGGTGCTTCTACAATTCCTTACAAATTGTCCACTACTTGAGGAATTTACCTTGGTAATATAATGTCCATATAACTACAGACTACTTATGAAGCTTCAATTCAGTTAAATACTTTCTTACAAGGAAAATGTATTTTGATGCAGGTTTTATTTAATTTAACAAACTATATACAACTAAAAAAATGTGAATTTGTAGAGTTATTTAAGTGTTTATCTTTGGTTCAGGTTCTGAAAATATCTAGGTTTTGGATCGAGGTAATAGTTCTTAACTTGATTGTTGTATTTATCTCATGCAAGAGTATTGTGTTATAATCTATGGTTTGGTATATTTGGTTAAAGGAATTTGGTGTAGATGATGATGTTATGCCACAGAAGCTCCCCACTTCACTAGTCCACTTGAGGGTACTTGTTCATGATGTATCTTTTCTGCATGAAGATGAGATTTCTTGTCTTCTCTATTTGATCAACAACTCCCCAAATTTGGAGAAAATTAAACTGGAGGTACATGCTATCAGATATGGTAATAATTAATAGATCTGCATAGTTATTTGTATTTGCAATTTTGTTGTGTCTTCTGATTAGAGGTGTAGGGACCATGAGGAGCGGGGTGAACAAACTTTTGATAACTGGTTTGATCCTGAAGATCACTCGGATCTTAAATTGGATCATCTTAAAGAACTGGAGATAACAAGTTTCTATAATGTGGGATATGAGATGGAGTTTGTGAAGCTCATCATTGCTAAGTCACCTGTGCTAAAGTTAGTACGAATAAAGCTTAATCCAAATGTTTATGTTGATGAAGAGATGAAGATGCTTCAAGATTTGGTGAGAGTGTCATTTCCACGTGCATCACCAACAACAAATTTCATTATCGAACGCATGCCATTTAACTAAATGTGTTGTTCAAAAATCAAAATATAATATTTTGTCAAAGGACATTGTCTTTATGCTCTATTTTGAACTTATTTCGATGTCGTTTTGGGTTGATTATGGGTATTATGGCAATTTATACTTTCCATTGCAAATTCTCTTTGATGCAATAAATTTGGTATTTTCTTTAAAGGATATAAGAATACAACATTGAAAAACTAGGTTTGCATTGTAAAGCAATGAAATTTGGTTTTGACCACGATCAAGCAAATCAAGGCACCATTTGGATTTACAAGTAAAGTGTGGTTAGGAAAGCAATGACAAAGTTCATGATTCAAGAAAGTTTGCATTTTGACCATTTCAATAACTCGTAATTGACAAGACTAATTCAAGAAACTATTCAGTCGTGCATTGTCATGGAAGCTGCTCGATCCTTAGATATGAATGTATTAATATGCGGCAAATTGTTAAAATTTAGATGATTTGAGATTTTGATAAATTAGAATGCTGAAAAAATTTAACTTATGTTGTTTGGATAGCTCCACACGGTTCACAAGATTCGTTCCTTTGCATTAGCGCTCATTGGGTAAATTTGAATACTTGAAAACTAATCAAGTTAACATTTACATTTGAATTGTTTGAATATTAATACACCAAAGACAATTTATATAAAATTGTAGATTACACGATAAAAACTTATAAAATGCAAACCAAAGTTTTTCTATATCTTTTGATATTGTGTCGAACAATACCTTCGGAAATGGAAACATAAAATTAAAATATTTACCGGTTTGTGACAACGGTTTTTTTTTTTTTTTGTTCCATAGTCATTGTTTTGCACATAACGACGGCGTTTTTTTCCCTATAGTCGATGTTTTGCACATATTACTAACTTGGTTGTGCAAAACGAACTAAAACAAATTGGAGAAGTAAAAGATACATTTAAACAAATATTTATAGCTCTAGCAATGATCAATATCCTAAATATATGAAGTTTTGTAACAATGTGAATGTCATTCGGTTAGGGATGAATATGGATGTAGCTCGTTGATGGAATTTTATACGGAATATGTTTGAATGTGCTTTACAACAAAAATATACTTTAAAAATGTTTCATAACAATCTTGCCATGGTCTTAGGGCTGGCCATATTAGAAGTCTAGTTGGATAGTCATCAAACAATTAGCAAAATTGCTTGAAGTTAAAAAAATCTACTACTTTTTTTTATCGATAGTTATCAAACAATTAACAAAATTGGTCAAAGTTAAAAATGTTTCATAACAACCTTGTGGTCTTGCCATGACCATAGGACTGACCATATTCGAAGTATAGTTGGATAGTTATCAAACAATTAACAAAATTGTTCGAAGCTAAAAAAAACTACTATTTTTTTATCGAGAGTTTATCATTTAATAAGTTGTTTCATCCTTAACTAAAATTTTTTAATGTGCTCGGCAATCGTCAACGATTTTGAAAAGAAAAACTAAAATTTCCTTTTAATGGCACTACCGATGAACGTTAAATTAAAAAAAAAGTTACATGTATTGACATTCACAACAACTTGTGCCTCCACATTGAACCCGACGATAAATGTTGGAAAGCTAAAGCTTTACTTGAAAATGTATATAATGACTTGGGTTTATTCGATGGAAACACAAATTATGAAACCGAGGTCAAAGCTAAATTTAACATTGTTTTTTCAAAATTATTTGACGCTGTGCTGTTTATTTTTTTTAAAAAACCTATTCTAATCATTTATTGCTGTGTCGCGACACTTGACCCTTCGCAACTATTTATTTTTCAGAAGATTTCTGACTTAAAAACTGATGTGCATGTGCTGCGTGACACAACACTTGACCATCTGTTTCAAACCTCTTCACACTTTACTTTAACTTATTGCAGCAGTTTGTAGAGGTTAAAAAACAAATAAACTTTTTATTACATACTGCAACCGTTTGGTCCCACTTTTCTGCTATAGAGGTTGCAAAGGTTGTCCACAGACTTCAGACATTTTCGTTTCGAAAAAACAAACGACAGCTTAACAAAATATGATTTAACAAATACACATGACTCAATCAGAAATGTAGCAAAATCATCTAGATCGGGTAATAATGGAACAATTAGACTATATAACACATAAGAAATGAAGCTATTATACGGGCCCACACTAGAATCCTTATTAGCGATATACTGGAACCAATTTTTTAGCACACGAGTATTCAAGATTTTGAAAAAATGTATATTTTGGTTTGGTAGAAGAAAAAAAGACAATTTCCAATTCTATTCGCTATGTGTTAATCATCCATGCTGGTAGCTTCATAATCAACTTTTTATTAGGGGTGTGCAAAAAAACCGTAAAACCGAAAAATCGAGCCGAACCGGTCGATCCGAAACCGAAAAAAAACAGAAACCAAAAAAAACCGATACATAAAAAAACTGAAACCGAAAAAACCGGATATCAACGGTTCGGTTTTGGTTTGGATACTTAGGTATTTGCGGATAACCGAACCGCTTGATATATATATATATATATATATATATATATATATATATATATATATATATATATATATATATATATATATATATATATATATATTATTCATTTTCATTGAACTTTTAGCCATATCCCAAACAACAATCATGATCGGCTATTCTAATTTTACACTTCTACATTATGTTTTCTTTTATTTTTATTTTTATATTTATTATACCAATAATAATGTATATTATTTGACCTTCATTATGTTTTTATTTGGACTTGGTAATTTTTGAAAGAAATCGTTGGAATGAAGTTTGTAATTTTAATTGTATTTGAATTTTTATATTTAGCGAGTACCCGTGAACCGAATCGTGGTTACCCGCCTGTATACGGTTCGGTTCGGTTCGGTTTTTTTGCTAATTCGGTTCGATTTCGGTTAGTGCACATGAAGTACCCGCCCCGTGATGACGGTTCACAATTTTATTACTATCCGAACCGAACCGTCCCGTTAACACCCCTACTTTTTATGTTAATGAATGGGTAATATCTTCAAGAATAACAAAACTCACCTCTATATCATTGGAAGTCAGGGCCGGTCCAGACGGTGGGCAACCCGGGCGACTGTCCAGGGCCCACGTTTTCAGGGGCCCAAAATTTCTAGGCTATGTTGTGTGTGTGTGTGTGTGTGTGTGTGTGTGTATATATATATATATATATATATATATATATATATATATATATATATATATATATATGATTTTTATGGTCTAAAGTTAGTTCAAACTCAAACTAACAAAAAAGATAAACAGTTTGGTTTTCTTGTTATTGCTAATTGTACGCGTTCATAGTGAAGAATGAATGATATTTTTTTTAATCTTTATGATATTTGTCTTTAAGGGCCATTTTTTTCTTTTCGCCCCGGGCCCTATATATGTTTGGACCGGCACTGTTGGAAGTATGCATTTGCTTGAAAACTATTTGAATGACATGACATGTATAACATACTAGGTGTGACACTCATGTATTACACGAGTTTATTTTAAAAAATTAAATATAAAATTTTAACAATTTGAAAAGTTTGAATTTATAAGAATAATAATTTTTTTTGAATTATTAAAATTAATGAGACTTTAATGTATTAAATACATTACATATATAAACCATTTCTAATAAATACCTACAATATATTATCTTACATATTAAACATGAAATTTTAATTTAATAAAATGAGAATTACAATAAAATAACAAGTAGAAAATAGAAAAATAAAAAATTGTAGAAAATGCTATGTGGCAAAATTTTCACCGCTTGAAGACAAACTTGAGACTCCTAGAAATAGCGATGAATTTGAGGAGATCACTTGCTTCAGAAGAACTCGCTTTTGAAGTACTACTAAACCTTGACGAATAAACTATAAACGATTAAGAGCATCCGTAATGGTGAGTTTAATGGGAGAGTTGAATAAGGTGGCAAGTCCATTTGTCATTCAGTGGATGAAACTCTACCATTGTGAAATGTCACATTGACATTGAATGGATTTAGAGTTTAATGGTCATTGAACTCTTCAATGAGAAAAGGGAAAGTTTTAATTCTTAAATACTTACTATAAATTACATTTTGTAACATTTTATTGAATTTTTTAAAGTTCATTGCATTGTAGAGAAAAAAATAATAGAGTTCTATGGATTGTAAACTGATGTGATAATTCATTGAACTTTAAGGAGTACAATGCATTGTGGATGTCCTAACGAGTCATGAATCACTATGACACTACCACTAGCACTACCAAAACAACAAGAAGAAAACCTGATAATGGTTTTCTTTTTTGTTTTAAAGTTCTAAATATATTGCAATTTGCTTTTAGTATATGTTTTAAATTCAAAAAAAAAAAAAATGAAGTTTTTCATTTCAAACTGGTTTTCATCCTATTATCCGATGGTTTTGACTATGTTGACCAATTGACCTCAAAAAATAGTACACTACAACCATGGGCCGAACACGAACAGACTCCAGAGTCCAAGGGACCAGGGCTATCGAGCTGGAAGGCCCGAAAAACTTTTCTACACAATTTAGCCTTTTTAAGAAAAATTAGAAAAACCGGATACAAGAGTGAGGGTTAACAATTTGAAATTGGGAGCGAAATCGTTGATCGTTTTTCGTTCATGATATTTTCGCAGTAGCAGTCGGTTGGAGAGATTCGAGTAATCGAGTGCCACCATTACATTACTTCTTAAACCACGCTTACAGCATACTCTCCTCTGTCGAGTAAATTAGTTTCACCTTGAACTGAAAGGCCTAATTAAGCTCGTAATTTATGCGGTGAAGTTATGATTCAAACTCCATGATTGCTCCTTCCTTATAGTGTCTGTACTACTGTTGCCATATGGTTTCAATGATCTAAATTTGATTACAAAATTGATTTGCAGGATTTATTAGGTTCGTATAATTTTGTAATTAAGTAGTTAATTTTCTCGGTAGTACAATGTTGGTGGATAGTTTTATTATTTTGAAGTGGTGATACCATCAATGGAATGTATATACAA